TATTCACCGAGATATTACTATTGAAAACTTTCGAAACAACATACTATAATTTTTACCTAAACTGTTATACCAATACAAGCTAATTTAATTTAGATCTATTCCTAACTTCCTGCATAAAAAATGATATTTTTTTGTTATAAAAAGCGTCTTTTTGAAAAATAGGTTTCAAAGATACTTCTTAATATGTTGAAAATATATTTATCATCTATAAAATTTTGAGCATGAAACTATAATATCAGTTTCAAGCTTTGTGTATACAAAACAACAATAAAAGTATCATCTACACCAAAAGTAACCTTTTTTTTTCTACCTAATATTTACAAACACGCCTTTTGCATATAAAACTGAATAATAAAGCTATTGAATTTTATATCTCACAAAAATTAAAAAAAAAAACAAGTAGCGAACTACACTTAATAGATAATAGTAGTTGGGTATGATTTATGAAACGTCTATCATACTTTTTCTTGATTTGATCAGGAAGTCATTTTTTATACATCTAACTTTCGTATTTCAGGATTGTTACCCTCTATCCAGGTGATGTCACACTGACGGGTACTCCTGCTGGAGTAGGTATGCATAGAAACCCACCGGAATTTTTGAAAAAAGGGGATATTCTGGAGAGTGAAATCGAAGGGATTGGAAGGCTGAAAAACATGATAGTCTGATTTNCTGTGACGTCACTGGCATTGAAATATACCCCCTTTCAAATCGAGTTCCAAAATGTTTAAGGTTTTTCAAAAGCAGAAAAAAGTACATGAATGAATATACGACATTACTATTCATTTAGTACTACTCACTCAAATATCTCTTTAACGAAATTTCAAATATAAAGTCGTTGTTTCGTAATATGTGTTGCTTCTCAATTTCATATTAACCATCAAATCGATGTGACAAATTAAATTCTAAAATTTTCACAAGTTTTCATCAATGTTGCATATTTTTATGCAACACGTAAAACATCGTGAAGGATCTGACGATATGTGTATGAGTGACGTAATTGCCAAAACGTGTATCTCTTTATCTTTTATTAGTTGTAGGAGTCAATGTTCTTCTCTCTTTAGTGACTAGTGACGGAAAACCAGTGATGGTTTTCCGATGTTGACAAGTCACGTCATTGTTGATGTCGTCACGAAGTTATCCGAATTTTGAAAAAACTGCAGAAATGTGAAACTAGCTACTACTTTATATCAGTACTCTTAACGTCTCCTGATGATGCTAACTTGGTTAGCCAAATGCGCTTCGGGTGACAGTATTTTCAATTCTGTTCAGGGACTGGTTTTCAATAGATTCATTTCACACCAGAAATTCAAAATTCTACTTGTCGAGATACTATTAGGTTATTTCAAAAGTTTTATCCGTTTTAATGTCGTGTATGTTTTTTAGCTCAATAAACATTTATTTTACAGTGATACATTGATCAAGTGAGAATTCCGTATTTTACATTGATGTTTCCCCAAATTTAATTTATTTGCCACTTTACAGCTCATTGCTATATGATGAAGAAATTTTCGGACAATTTTTCTATACGAATCCAAATTGAACCAAAGCGCTCCCGAACAGCCCGAAAAATAAACTGAGCATTCGGCAATGATAGTGTTAATGAACACACTGATTGATGTTGGTTTGCAAAATTTCGTTCTGGAGATCATAGCCACAGCATAGGTAACAATATTTGTTACCATCACAAATAGGCGTTATTAATTGACTTGTGTTAGATTACAAAAAGTGCATTAATTAAAATGGTGATTATTTTGATTGAATTGAATAAGTATTTACCGAGATATTACTATTGAAAACTTTCGAAACAACATACATACAACAACATTTTTACCCAAACTGTTATACCAATACAAGTGGAAAGGTTCATTGATCGATCAATCGAGCTCAAGTCACCCTACTTCGCATGTTCAAATATCCCGTATATACTAACCATCAAATCGATGTGACAAATTAAATTCTAAAATTTTCATCGATGTTGCATATTTTTATGCAACACGTAAAACATCGTGAAGGATCCGACGATATGTGTATGAGTGACGTAATTGCCAAAACGTGAATCTATCTTTTATTAGTTGTAGGAGTCAATGTTCTTCTCTCTTTAGTGACCAGTCACTGGTTTTCCGATGTTGACAAGTCACGTCAATGTTGATGACGTCACGAAGTTACCCGATTTTTGAAAAAACTGCAGAAATGTGAAACTAGGTACTACTTTATATCAGTACTCTTACCATCTCATGATGATGCTAACTTGGTTAGCCAAATGCGCTTCGAGTGGCAGCATTTTCAATTCTGGTCAGGGACCGGTTTTCAATAGATTTATTCCACACCAGAAATTCAAAATTCTACTATTAGGTTGTTTCAAAAAGTTTTGTCCGTTTTAATGTCGTGTATGTTTTTTAGCTCAATAAACATTTATTTTACAGTGATACATTAATCAAGTGAGAATTCTGTACTTTACATTGATGTTTCCCCAAATTTAATTTATTTGCCACTTTACAGCTCATTGCTATATGATGTTGAAGCAATTTTTCTATACGAATCCAAACTGAACCAAAGTGCTCCCAAACAGCCCGAAAAATAAACTGAGCATTCGACAATGATAGTGTTAATGAACACACTGATTGACGTTGGTTTCCGAAATTTCGTCCTGGAGATTATAGCCACAGCATAGGTTATGCTGTGATGTATTCGACCTACAGTAATCTCGGACGAGGATTTGAGGACTATGGTGGAGATTGACCCACAAACTGTGCGTTATTAATTGATTTGTGTTAGGTTACGAAAAGGGCACTAATTCAAATGGTGATTATTTTGATTGAATTGAATAAGTATTCACCGAGATATTACTATTGAAAACTTTCGAAACAACATACTATAATTTTTACCCAAGCTGTTATACCAATACAAGTGGAAAGGTTCATTGATCGATCAATCGAGCTCAAGTCACCCTACTTCGCATGTTCAAATATCCCGTATATGCCTTATATATCTCGTACATCAAGTTTGACCTACAATCTAGGATTTTTATCAAATCAATTTACGTTCAAGTCATTGGCTTTTAAAAGTTATGGATTTATACACATTTTGACTGATTAAACTTGATGCACTCCAAATATAACCTTTGAAAATTCAAGTAGAAATGAAACTCTTTCCAAAGTATAAATATAGGTAAATCAGAATTGGGTGGAACCTTTCAAATGAAAAACATATTCCATCTGATAAGAATAACGTCACAAATTGTAGAAAAGTGAATCGCTCAATTATACATGCCAAGATAACTTTAACATCCACTCTATTGTACAATTATATTTCATCTTCCATTATCTAATATGATATAAAATGATTTGAAATCCCTGAAAGAATCAATAAAATAAAAAAGATTAGCTGAAAAACAACATATTAAGCAAAACAACTGAAATTACAATCAAATAAAATACAAGCAACAATTGAAAATAGAGAAATAAAAATTGAAAAGTACAAGATTTCAAGTCAAGTTACTTCACGACGCTTCTATTGTTAGTATCCACAAAAGTCTTCAGCTGACGAACGACTGAATTGTGAAGTAACTTGGCTTGAAATCGTCTAATTTTCATTTCTTGGTATTTGTTCAATTTTCAATTGTTGCTTGTATTTTATTTCATTATAATTTCAGTTTTTTTGCTTAATATACTTGTTATTCATCAACAAATTTTTTCAATTTTATTGATTCTTGCAGGAATTTCAAATCATTTTATATCATATTAGACAATGGAAGTCCGAACTAATGACATGCACCATGAAACATTGTTGAACACCTTCAACCAAACTATAGTAAAATTAGTTCATTGAGTTGTGATGTCATTCTTTCCAGGGTACGATATTGCATTAGATTTTGCTTTTACTAGAACAAAACCATTCACAGTGCAAAGTACAAATTACATCCTACTGCTCAGGGGGAAAATAAGGCCTGGGCTTCTTTGACGTCAAACTAAATTCTTCTCGAGTGTGATACGGTTCATAAGGATCTTCAATATAGTATTTCGGTTTACGCCAGTAGGGTCCCACCATTTTGTCTAACATATAACTCTGCTGGGCATTGCAAAAAACATGTTGTCTGAGTCGTCGCTTTCTGGCAGAGGTTTTTCTCCATAAACGTTTGTTACGACCACATCTGGTTCGAATCCATATTCCCCAATTTAGTTGTAGAATCTATTCATAACAGTCTTCACAGATTTTCGCTTTCCTTTCCTCAATGAGAATTTGGTCACGGTCCTTATTGTCGTATCTGTATTTACTGGAGGAAGAGGGTTTAGTAACGAGGGCTTGCTCACTATATACTGATTGAAAACTGAGCTGAAGTTCCTCGAGACTGCTGGAACTACAGCGTTTTGTCTGCCTACATTTTGAATTAATGACTTTGAAACAGGACCTATGGACGAAGAAGCCGCCTTGAATGCTGAAAATAATATATTTTTAAACATCGCAAACTGATAAATTGACAAATTTTAATTTTTTTGTGAAAAATGTGTAATATTTTGCAACTATTTTAATCTTCTTATTCTTCCTATTTTCGATTCAATGGCCTCAGCAATTAAGGCTGTCCGGCCAGTTGGTAACGAAACTATTTTAATGAATTGAGTAATTTGACAGATGCAATGTGTGGAAGAAGGACAAAACCATAATGTCGCAAGGATGTCGTATTTCACTAGATCCAGAATTAAATAAATAAATCAGTTGTAAAGATACATTAGAATATCAGAACGACAGTTTTTTT